TATATATATAAGGGCATCTGAAGCTTCATCTCAAGCAGCAATTCCACCCCTCAAGTGCACTTACCAAGGAAGGACTAGCCAGACTGCAGTGAAAATGCCAATAGAAGGGGAGACCAGAGAGCTCGCTCCGCACCCGGAGAATCAGTGCCTTTGCGACATGATCACAGGAGAAAGCAGCTGCATCGGGTTGGACACCATCTTTCAACAATGGACGAAGCAGATTATCCAAATGACAGAGAAAAGCCACAGGGGGGGCAGTCAGGCGCTTGTTCAGCTCCTAAAGAGACAGCAGTTGTAAAGAATGAGGGTACTGACAGGAAACTGACTCCTCGTCAGCAACAGCAAAAGAAAGCCCTGGTTAATGTGGGCATGAGAGGGCGAGGAGGGAGAGAAAAACACCAGAACAGGAAAGATGAAAACAAAAAGGAATCACAAAGATAGATCAAGTGGTGTACTTCACAATTCTACCTTGGCAAGATCACTTAACAGAAGGTCTGTATAGATCAAGTAATAAAGGTCACATTATCCATTATCATACATATAAAAACATTCTCTCACATACAGAGTCTCACACACACACACACACACACACATACACACACACAGTCTCTCTCACACACACACATGCACTCGAAAAGATCCCAGGACTGCAAATAAAAGTATAAAACATGGCAGGCTGAATATGCCTTATCTGAAATACCTGGGACCAGAAGTGTTTTGGATTTCCAAGGTTTTTTATTTTGGAATATATGCACAGACTGTACCAGTTGAGCAACTCTAATCCCAAAATCTAAAACCTGGATGCTCTAAAATGTGAAGCTTTTTGAGTGCTAGTACTCAAAAATTTTCAATTTTGGAACATTTTGGATTCCAGATTTTCATATTAGAGATATTCAACCTGTAACTGAAACTGTGCCAATCCAATCTGCCTTGCCAACTTACAAGCAATCGAGCTGGTTGATGTTAATGACCCCTGACCTTTGCTAGGAAAGAATCATACCCCTCCACCCCATAGCACTGCTTCTTTTCTCACTTACCTTGGCTCGCTGGCTCACCACACTAGTATCCATATGTTCATGCCACACATGCTGAAGATCCGAAACTAGCAAGGCATAGCCCTGCTTGGTGATGTAAGCCTTGGCCAACAGGGAGTTCTCAGTGAGCTGTAGCCATGCCCATGGCTGCATCAACAGGCCTTGCTCCAGTTCCTCCATCTGCAGGAAAGGCCTAATTTAGCAAAGGGTCTCCAGGGTAATGTAGGCCCGGGTGGTCATCACTCAAAACCCCTGTAGCAACTAAGCTTTTGTGACAATTCTCTTTGATAACACAGAAGGTATGCTCTCACAGTCTCCCCTTTATTGAATCAGCTGACCATCAGTCTTCCTACTTCTTGGCCACTCGTTTTTTCCCACATTAAGAGGAAAGAAAATATCTCTGGTGCATGCCTGTAATCCCAGTACTATGGGAGGCTGAGACAAGAGGATCAAAAGTTTGAGGCCAGCCCTGGCAACTTAGTGATATCATGCCTCAAAATTAAAAAAAATATAAGAAAAGGACTAGAGATTCAGCTTAGTGCAAGGCTCTGGATTTAGTCTCCAGTAATGAGGAAGGGAGAGAATGGAAGCAAAGGGAGAAAGGAGAGGGAGATGAGGAGAGGAGAGAAATTATCTTTCTTCCACAGTGGTTAAGCCATGGCATATTGGTGTTAGTATTTCTTTCTAATAATATAACTTAATATGGAATCCTAAACCATTATTGCATCCTTATCACAATTCTAATAAATACGATAATTATATCCTTCACAGAACTTTTAAAAGAGAAAAATTCTTGTGTTGTAAAACATCATAAGTCATAAGTGTCAGGACAAGAAATTCAAATTACTCAATCACTATCTAAAAACAAAGCTCTGGAAGCTCTCAAGAATTTTTTCTTTAATCTCTAAAGAGAAGTTCTCTTTTTTTTTTTTTTTTGGTACTGGGGATCGAACTCGGGTCAAAACCACTGACCTAAAGCCCCAGCCCTAAAAGAGAAGTTCTTAATCTAGAGTCTATGCATGTGAATCCTCTGAAATTATATAATTTGAGAGGGGAGCCAGGAATTGAACTCAGAGCCTCACACTTGCCAGGCAGGCACTGTGCCCCTGAGCTATATCCCCAGCTTTTTTTTTTTTGGTACCAGGGATCGAACTTGGGACCTTGTGCTTACAAGGCAGCCTGCAGAACCACTGAGCTAAATCCCTGGCCCTATCCTTGGCTTTGGGGGGGGGGGCGCTAGGCATGTTGGTGCATACCCATAATTCCAGCACTCTGATAGTCTGAAGTAGGAGGATTGAGAGTTCAAACCCAGCCTGGACAACTTAGCAAGACCCTGTCTCAAAATATAAAACAACAGCCAGGGATTTAGCTCAATGGCAATGCACCAGCCTCGCAAGCACAAGGTCCTGAGTTCCATCCACGGTACAAAAAATATATGTGTGTGTGTGTGTGTGTGTGTGTGTGTGTGTGTATAAAATAACAATGACTGTGGATAGTCAGTCATGGTGGTGCACACCTGTAATCCCAGCACTTGGGAGGCTGAGGCAGGTGGATTGCTGTGAGTTCAGGGCCAGCTTCGTCTATATAGTGAGTTCAAGACCACCTCAAACTATATAGTGAGACCTTGTATCAAAAAACAACAAAAAAATGGGTGTGGATGTAGTTCAGTGAAGGCCCTGGGTTCAATCCCCAGGAGAGGGGAGGGGCAGGGAGGGGAGGGGCAGGGAGGGGAGGGAGGGAAAAAATTTTGTGCATACATGCAAATAATTCAGAGGTCCATGGCTATCACCAAATTCTTAAAGGGACCCATGACACCAAAAAATGCTATTAAATTCTGTGGTCAGAAGCAACTGAAAACCCAAATCCCCTTTCAGCAAATGACCAGAAATTCATGACTATAAAGCACAGTACATCAAACAGGAAGAGAATTAACTTCCATTAACTCTGTGTAGCCAGGAACTTTCAGAATCCAACTTTTCTACCTGAACTGCTACCATAGCAGCCTTAACCTAACAGATACTCAGTAACTATGGGTGCTTAACAGAGAATTTAATTATTTTTCCTGTGGGTCAAAAAAAAGTAATATAATTTCCTTCATTATTCCAGGCAATAAATGCAAAATGAAGAGAAGTACTAAGAGGTGAAAATTTAGAATATAAAGACAATAATGAAGCTGTTTAAGTCTGATTTACACAATTGTTTCTAAATCGGTCTAAACCATTCTTCCAACTATAACTAGCTTTCAAGGTGTGGCCTTGGGACATTTCTTGTGACTACTGACTTGTAACTAGACAGGTGAAAAATACACAGTCGTGCCACATAAGGATATTTCAGCCAATGACAAGACTCCATATATGACAGTGGCCCCTCAGACTCTATGGATGTCTTTTTGTATCACATGCTGTATGGTGTTCACATACTGATGGTTCTCCCCTTTGCTGTTTTCCTTTGGCAAGCAAAAACACCTTTATGCAGATCTGTGGGATGTGTCTACGGGTTATGACTCTGGTAAAATAACTTGTCTGGCCCCAAGTGGAGCTGATTGAACAGCTTTATACTGTACTGAAACTGGCGCACTCCCTTGATCTGGAACCCATACAATGACAAAACATCCCCATCTTAAGCGACACATGACTGTACACGTGCTGGCTGTTACTTGCTGCAGCCTCGAAACCTTGGTTTAGAGATGGTATTTCCGTTACATTTCCCACACACTGTTCCTACAGGGTAGAAGTGGTGGCTAGGCTAGTCTTCCATGGACAAGAGTTCCTCACTGCCAAAGATCAAAATGGTACACGAAGTTGCCCAACCCTTTCATTTCCCTCAGAGGTGCTCTCAGGGTTCTCTGAAAGTCACCGAATAGATTTACTATCCTAGCCCCCCTTTTTGGAAAGTTTGAAGGGTCAGAACCCTCAAATTGATGGCTTCTGAGGGAAAAGGGTAGTTGAAAAATTGGCCAGGGGCATCTCACTCAGAGCTTCATCCACCCCATGTTCAGGCTGCTGCGGTCCCCCAGTATTGGCTTCTGTGGCTCTGCTGTCTGCCTCCTCCGTTAATCATCCTGGAACACCTGAGTTCGCTGCCCACACAGATGGATTACAAGAGCCAGAAACTGGCTGAACAGATGTTTCAGGGGATTATTCTTTTTTCTGCAACAGTTGGATTTATCTATGGGTACGTGGCCGAATAGTTCAGGTGGACTGTCTATATCGTTATGGCTGGATTTGCTTTTTCCTGTTTGCTGACACTTCCTCCACGGCCCATCTATCACCGACATCCCCTCAAATTGCTACCTGTTCAAGAGTCAGGCACAGAATACAAGAAACCAGGGGATAGAAAAATTAAGGGGCATGCTAAAAATAATTGGTTGGCGTTTTCATGGTTCAACATCTGTTTTTGTTTCCCGTGAGATGAGCTAAATTGTTTTCATACCCAAAACATGAGCTAAAACCACCTATGCTCTTGAACAGCATGGCTATGTATAGACTTAATTCTTTACCTTTCATTTCTAACCCAGCTTTGACCTAAAAATATCTGAGACCCTGTCTTGGTAATCTCGTTCTAAAATGGAGAACAGAAAACACAAGTATGCAGCTTTTCTTTCAGGTATACATTAATAATGGATAAATGAACAGAAAAAGAAAAAAAAAGAAAATTTGGCTGGGGAAAATAACCCTAGTAATAGGTCCGAAAGCCCAGGGTGGTGGCTCACACCTGTAATTCCAGCACTCTAGGAGGCTGAAGCAGGAAAATCTCTATTTCAAGCCAAGCCTGGGCAACTTAGTGACTTTGTGAGACCTTGTTTCAAAATAAAAAGGAATAGGGATGTAGCGCAATGTGAAGGTCCTGGGTTCAATAGCCAGCATTGCAAAAAATAAAAATAAAAATGTCTGAAACATTCAGCATCGCACAACTCGGGCCCATTCTAAATCTGAAGCCTCTAAATTTCACTTTTTGTCCAAGGCCACCTTTAACATTCATGTTAACCTCATTTACCAGTTTAGGTCTCCTGAACGCCTTAACACATGCGAAGGGCAATAGCAAGGGTGGAGCGCTGTGAGAACTGGTATTTGCAGCAGGATTCCCCCCTCAGCCAAGGGTCCCTCTGAGGGCAGTTCCCCCAAAGCCCTGAAGAGGGCAACGGAGCCCTAGAGACTGTCCAGGCTAGGCCACGCCCTGTCTCCCAGGGAGAGGTCGAAACTTCTGTCCCACGCTCACAGTCCCATCCCGGGTGCCTCGCCCGACATCCAGTTTCCATTCGCCCTTCCTAGAAGAGCTTCGCCGTCAGCCTTTCCACTTCTACAGTATCAGCTGCACTGAGGGGTAGCTCTGGACCCCTCCAGGTATAACAAAGATGACCACAGTAGTACTGCCACACCAAGCAACCTGCCCAAAAAAAGTCACACCGAAGCCCAGGCAGCCCGTGGAGCCTCCGGAGGCGGACAGCGCACGCGCGGCCCCGCCCACTCCCGGAGGTCGGCCGACCCCAAATCCCCGGTTGCGCGGTCCCTTCTGGGAGAAAAATGCCCGGGCAGGGCCCAACCCGTCGGCTGCGCACAACTCCTCTCCGCCCAGGCAAGCCTTTGCCCCAGCACGGACGCAAGCCCGACCCCACCTACCGTCAGCGGCTGCGAAAGTTCCCACCCTCCTCGCGGCAAGCCCGCGCAAACTGAGAGACCAAGAGTACAGGCCGACCTTGGTCTGCGGGGGCGGAGCCCAGGCCTGGCGTGGGCGGGGCTTCGGAGCCCACCGATTTGATTGAAGGCGCACCCGGAGAGTGGGAGAGCAACAGGCGAGGCTGGGCGGCCGGCAGGGAAGCTAAGGAGTAGGGGCGCTTCCAGGAGGCACCTGGCAAAGGAGAAAGAATACCAGACGAGATGCTGAGTGGAGTTCCCGGGTTTGAATTTGTCAAATTGAAGTTACTTCTCTCTCGTCGACTAAGGGTCTATCCTTTTCAGTGGATTCAATTTACTTATATAATCTCTGGGATCCTCACCACCTCTAGAGAGGTTCAAAAGAGGATCTTTCAGGTGTAAATCCTGTAGTCCAACCTCATCTTTTAACTCCCGCACCTCATTTCTCCCTCTCCGTGCCCCCATTATTTATGATGTCACTGCTGAGACTCAAAACCCCTCAACTCTTCTTGTAGTTTGTATAACTCATGGTTTTGCTTAAGCTGGATTCCTGAGCCTGAAAAATTCTCCCCATCCGTTTTCTAAAACCCCGTATCCCCCTCCCTTGTCAAGGCCACCCTCAGTGTTGTTACTTTCATAAAGCATTTCCCATTATCCCCAACCAGAATGAATCGCTTCTGCCTCTACTCTCGTGGCATTATTTTCATCTTTATTACAGAACGCCTTCTGCGGCGCATTTTAGAATTACATAGGTCTTTTTATTTTTTATTTTTAGGTACCGGGGCTCGAACTGGGGTCCTTGCTCTTTCCAGGCAGGCGGTGCAACCACTGAGCTAAATCCCAAGCCCTACATAGGTCTTTTTAAATCCTAAGTGGCTGGAGAGGATAGGGACCCTGTCATATCATATCAATAAATATTTGTTAAGTGAATGCTAGGGCTCAAGTGGCATTGATAATCTCCAGGCAAAATCCCATTCATTCATTCGTGACCACTAAACCATGGCCCCTGCTCTGGAAGGAAAGGCAACCCATTTCATTCTGTTGGGAATAGGATCTCTAAGTGTACGCACGCACACACGCACGCACCCTCTCTAGGGCAAAGCCTGGGTGCTAACCCTCCCAGCAAGCTGCAAATTAGGGCTAAATTAATGAGGGCAGAAATAGGCTCCTGGTAATTACGGGGACCTAAGCCCTTCTCTGGTAGAGGCAAGGCAGGGCTCCGCAGGGCAGGGCTCCTCAGAGCCAATCAACAAGTCTGCTGTCTCTCCTGGCTCAGAGGGCCCTCTTTCTTCATCCCCAGGGTCTTCAGGCATTGGGCACAGGCAACGGAGTGACTGGGGGATACAGGAACACAGGTTTTGGATAGAGAAAGGAAGTCTGTATTCTTGAGCAGCCTTTTCCATGGACTTCTGAGGCTTTTGAACCTCTTGGGCAGTGAAAGAAGATGGTAGCCCTTGACCTAAGCCTCGTTCAAGCCGTGTACCTGTGGAAGAGAGGTTAGTCAGTTCCTAATCCGGGGAGTGATGACTTCCTGGCACTCCCCAGTCTGCTAGGAGTTGGCCTCAACTTACCAGAAATTGTGTTCTCTAGGAGGAAGCCCAAGAGTCCAGCCATGAAGATGGGCTGTGCTAGCAGAGAGCGCAGTAACACATCCAAGGGACTCCAGCCTACAAGGGGTGGGGGCCAGGCAGAAAGGCAGCTCTGATGATGACTAAAGCCAGGGAGTCTATCCTTCCTTGGGCTAAGGACAGGGCTTTCTGAGTTATCATTCTGTCTTCCTTACCTTTTGTCCCATTACTCTCCATTACCTACACTCAAGCCCTTCCCCATAGGATCACTGTTCAACACTCTAGCTTCTGAGCATTCACACATCCTCCTGATATACTTTGTTCCAGTTTTCTTTTTTCTGGAAAGTTTGATATTAAAGGCCCCAACCTAGCCTGATGTGGTGGCACACACTTATAACCCTAGCACTCTGGTATACTTAGGCAAGAGGATCCCAAGTTCAAGCCAAGACTAAGGAACTTAAGAGACTTTATGAGACCCTGTCTCAAAAAATAAAAAGTTGGGGGTGTGTTTTAGTGTGAAGGCCCTGGATTCAATCCCCAATACCACTAAATAAAAGAATAAACGCCCTAAACTTATCTCCCCCTTCTTAACTTCTATGCTGTAGCCAGTCTCTCAACTTCAGTGCTACTGACATTTTGAAATTCTTTGTTGTAAGGGGCTGTCCTGTACATTGTAAGATATTTAGCAACATCTCTTTATTTACTAAAAGCCAGTAACAATCCTTCCTTCCCTCCTCTTTTTTTGGGGCGGAGGGTTGGTTTTTTGAGACAAGGTCTCTCTATGTAGTTCAGGCTGGCCTCAAACTTGCAATAGTTCTCCTACCCCCACCTCCCCAATGCTGGGAGTACAAGCATATGCCATCACACCTGGCTTTCTTCACTATTTGTAACCCAAAAAAATGTCTTCAGACATTGCTAAATGTCTCCCATGGGGGCAAAAATCACATCCAGTTGAAAACTGCTCTAGACAAACTAAGATATTTGCTGTTCTCTGGAGCTATCTTATACTTCTACTTTCACATCTTTATTTATTATGGTTCCTCCATCAAAAATGACCACCTTGAGCTGGGGATTTAGATCAGTGGTTCCACCACCTGCCTCAAAAGCACAAGGTCCTGAGTTCAATCCCTGGTACCAAGAAAAAAAAATGACCACTTTCTCACCAAATATTTTTAAATTTTACTTTTTGTTGTATTTTCAGTAGTGCTTCCCCATTACTGAGCACCACCTCTCCACTCCACCCACCTGTGTTGAGTGGGAATGAGGCTTCCCGAAGCCATCTTGGCAGCAGCAGGGCCATGAAGATGGAGAAGCCCATAATGAAGACATTTCGCCCAGAGTCAATGTCAGCCAGGTGGAAGCTGGAGAAGCCAGCAGACAGAACCACAGCCTGGGTCACCCCCAGCACCCCACCTGTCTCAAACAGAAGAAATCAAGTGTATTGGGTACAGCACAGCACAGGGGACTGCAGGGACGGCAGATTGTGATGCAGGAACGATCAAGGGTTTGTTTGTGATTCTGCCAAAAGCCCAGGAGCCCAGCCAAGAGGCCAAGATGTCAGGCTGAGAAAATAAGGGCAGCTGACCATGTTTACATTTTCATCCAGGGAGGCCATTTAGAGAGAAAGGGTGCCAGTCTAACTGCCTGGTCCCGCCACATGGAGGTAGGGGGATACTCCTTCAATACCAGTCCTGCCATACATCCACTCACCAAGCACAGGCAGTGGGATGGTGGTGAGGAACTTCACCAGCCTAGGTGAGAGCCCCAGCCCCATGCAGAGCAGCCCCACTAAGTGGGCCACTCGCCGAGATCCAGCCTGTGTGAAGAGATAGAAAACACAGCCACCTCCTTGGGCTGTTCCAGGTTTCTGCCTGGCCAGCTTCTTTTCATCATTTGGATCCCAACTTAAATACTATTCTTCCAAGAAGCATCCTGGCCATTCTATTTAAAGGTGCTTCCTTTAATCAGCTACTATCTCATTGTTTTGTCCTCTTAACAGCACTCTCTAAAACTCTAAAATTACTTACTTCTCTAGTCACTCTCTAAAATTACTTTCTTTTCTTCCCCCTATCAAGTCCCCAAGAGAGCAGGGCTTATCTGACTTGTTCTTCACAGGAACCCCAGCCTCAGCAGAGCACTTGATGCACCTGACCTGGGGATCTGCTGTCTTCCCACACTCCTAGCCTCTTTCTTGCCACTTCCAGGCACCTCACCAAGTAGGATTATTAATGTGAATCGCCTGCCTCGCTGCTGGACACAGCTGGGAACCAACCCATCCCTCTTCTGCACCTCCATCCAGTTCCCCACCCCATCCCAGGTCCACATACTTGGAAAAGGCTCACTGTGCCCACGTTAGGGAAGCTGGATGCTGTGCCCAGGGGACTCCCCAGCAGCCCAGCCAGCACACTGCCCAGCCCCTCCAGGCTCAGCCCTCGATTGCAGGCATGTGGAGGTGGGGGAGGCCAGTGCAGCAGCTGGCCACACAGGGCGTAGCAGCCCAGGGAGCTGGTAGAGGCTGCTGAGGCCATGGAGATGCCTGCAGCCAGAGCCCTAGGTGTCAACAAGGGCCAGTCCCACTCACCTGGGGAGGGAGAAAGAGCCACATGAGGTTGAGTCTGGCACCTCCTTCTGCCCCACCCCACCCCTTCTGGCCTGTTTCACAAGAATCCTAGATGCCCCATTGTATCTGAAGATAATGTCTTGGGACAAAACCACTGAACTCTAAGGAGACAGACCTATCCCTTTACCATTGTCTACAAGAGTTTCTTTGGTCTGACCCTTATCTCTCTCTCCAGTCTATCTGCAACACTCTATCTCACTTCCCTCTAGAAATATTGGTCTTTTTTTTAGGCTGTGGTCTTGGTGTGCTCCTGGCTGCCACAGGACCTTTGCATATGCTGTTTTCACCACCTAAAATGCTCTCCTCTCCTGCCTCCTGTCCAGTTAGCTCTACTTATCTCTCACATCTTAGCTCAATGACTACTTCATTATGAACAACTTTCCCAGCTGACTGTGATGGCACACATCTGTAATTCCAGCACTCTGGAAGGCTGAGGAAGGAAGATCACAGGTTTGAGCCCAGCCTGGGAAACTTAGCAACTTAGCAAGACCCTGTCTCAAAATAAAAAATTTAAACAGGGATGTAGCTCACTGTGAAGGCCCTAGGTTCAATTCCCAGTGCCTAAAAACTAATAATTAATCAACTAATAAATAATAGATGAATGAGCAAATTTCACATGCAGTGCCTCAAAAGCAGTCTTTCCATGTGGACTACCAACTGAAATGCCTATGGGGATCAGTAACATAAACATGTAAATGGAATATTTGGAGTGAGCACTGTAGATGTCTGTCTCTTAACACTGACCCAAATAAAACACCTGTGGTAAGGGACTGGAATTGCCCCCACAGGTTGGCAATTTTCTCTTTCCTCTGTGTTTTGAGAAAACATAGGATTTCACTCAGAAGTGAAACCCATTAAGTGTTGAGCTCAAAGAAATACATACCTTGATTTGAGCACGAAAACCTACCTGGGTGAGGCAGCCAAAACCATGGTGCCTCAGCAGCGGCAGACACCTGCAGGGGGATAATGCTGAGACCCAGCAGGGCAGCAAGGATCCACACAGAGGCCACAGGGATCAGCACCTGAGGGCCAGGACTGAGATGGAAAAGCGCCCTCCCCCAGCAACCTCCGGACCAGGCTTGGTGGGTGGACAGAGCCCAGAGTAGGGGGCTGAGAGAGATTCAATGCCATCCCCTCTAACCTCGAAGTCCCAGACCCCCACATACCGAGAGGAGCCGGAAAGCAGGAGCGTGAATGTGATGTGAAGAGGTTGAAGATGACCTCCAAGGACAGGGGGGTACCTGGCAGGAGCCCAGGTGCTGCGAACAGACCACCATAAGCAGGATAAGCCTAGGAGAGAAAAGGAGCTTTCAGAGCAAGAGGCAGCAGAGACCTGAGCAATAGCAATGGTGGTGGGAGGCCCCAGAGGTGACACCCCCATGGCAGAATTGTGGGGGGCTCCCCCCGGGATACAGCAAGAGACAGTGTGATTGTCAGGGAGATTATATGAATCAAGGCAAAGCTTTAGATTCGAGATCTAAAAAGTGTTATCCCTGCCCAGATGGTGGCCGAATCTGAGAGGACCAGCACCCTGCCCTTCCCCAGTCCCACACACTCCACTGGGCATGTCCCATGCCTCAAAGGACTCACGTACAGCAAGGCCAGGCCCCAGTGAGCAGAGCAGAACTGGGCCACCTCCCTGTGGGCAGAGAGCCCTGCCACAAACAGGCTGGGGGCCAGCACCAGGGGCCCACAGTGGGCAAACACATAGCCAGGGCCCCCTAGCAGTCCCAGGATGCCCTGCAGCAGCCCGGACACCACCACTGCCCCTGACACCTGGTGGGATAGAGGAGAGGATGGAGAGAAAACGTTCTGCTCAAATTGACCTGCGCCTGGACTTCCTAAGGAATTCCAAGGACAGGTCCCTGCCTGACTCCTTCCCCCAGAGCATCTCAGTCCTTGCATATTGGAAAGAAAATCTTCCCTGAGCCTGCACACCCTTAGGCCTCTCCTTCCCAGCTGCAGATACTTACCTCTCGGAGAGACGTGTTCCAGGGCTCCAGGCCATGGCAGCCAGGTCCCCTACATGGGCGCATGGTGAGGGAGGCTGGGAGGAGTTTGGGGCATAGAGAGAAATAAAGGTAAGTAGATGCTGAACCATTGCTCTCCAGTCCTAGCTGGTGCCTGGCATAGCCCCAAGACCTCTATGGTGCCTGGCAGTTCCACCACTGCCCAACCTCAATCCTGCATCCACCTCCACCTGTATGCTCAGATGAGCACCCAATCCCTTCCTCTGCCTGCCCTTGCTCTGTATTCACCATTTCCAGGCGCCTGGATGGCCTTGGGCAGCTTCTGGCTGGTCAGCACCAGAGCGGGGATAAGGAACTCTAAGGATGGAGCCTGGACGAGAGGCAGCCTGTAGGAACAGCAACCCCAGCAGGTCGGGAAACATGTGGCAGCCAGTAGGCTCCCCAAGCCTCTCCTCCCCCATGGAGACCCTGATCCCTCTCTTTAAGGAGTTCCGCTCACCTGCTGCCAGTCCAAGTTTGCAGGACAGTAGAGACACCACATGCAAAGAAGCTGGAGGCTAGGAGCTGAGTAGGGGAGTAAGAGAGCCCTCCTGGGGGAAGACTGCAAACCAGGAGCAAGTGGAAGGCATAGAGGAGGGAAGCCAGGACCAAGAAATGCTGCAGGTGGGAGAACGGAGGAGGGTGGTCTTCAGAAACAGGCAGAAATGCCTATTTCTAGGTTACTCATGCCACAGGAACTCCCCCTAAACACTCCCTGCACCTCTACTCTTACCTGCAGAGCCAGAAGACAGTTGAGCCCCCAGGTGAGAGGGCCACACCGAGACGCCCAAGAGTGGGAAGAGGAATTCTGGGAAGCAGGCAGCAATGGTAGAGGAGTCACGGCATCCTGGGAGTCCATGGATAGCAATGGGATGGGATGGAGAGGGGATCCACTCATGCTGCCCTGTGTCCTCTTTGGCTGCTCTGGCCAAGAGTTATGTGGAGAGAGTAAGAGGTCAGAGTTTGGGTGAAGTCAGCTGCTAGTAGTGGGAAGGGCTGGAAGCGTCAATGAAGCAGAGCAAGGGATGAAGGTTTAAGGGCAGGACACGGCCCCCTTCACCTTTGCCCAGCTCTTGTGCAAATTCCATCAGCCATTAACCGGGAGGTGAGTTCTGGACCCCTCCCCCAAGAATCTTCATCCAGATCCCCTGGGCCTAGACCAGGCTCTAGAGGCAAAGTAAGAGGGATGGTGAGGCGCCCTATCAAAATAACATGGAGAGATTGTGTAGACTATTCCCTCCCACTACCATTTAGAACCGTCTTTATTAGGTCTCAACCCTTTCAGGCCCCCTGGACCACTTCAAAAGGAAACTCACGGATAATACACCCCACATCCTGCATAATAACAGTGACCACAACTCCACACAATGTACTCAGTGTAATGTAAAGGAGAAATAAAGGTAATTTGTGATGCCATGTTACTTCAATATATGAAAACCTGGGTGCAAATAAACAAACGACAACAGGGAAGTCCAATCCCCGATGCATGTATACAATTGCAGAGAATGCAACAGTTACAGTGACCGCTAATAATAGCACTTTATTGGCAACATGCAGCACTGGCACTGGTAACCCAATTTATCCAAAATAGCAAACAAACTCCTCGTAAAGTGCTGAACAAAACAAAGTACAGTTTTAATTTACAAGGAAGTGCATTCCTACAAAACTCAAGTCTTTTTCAAAATGTACAAAAATGGTTTCATGCTTACATGTCAAAAGATTATTCCAAGCTCAGACAAACAGGATTTTCACATACATGACCAGCTAGTCATTCAAGATTTGTCCTGAGAATTCTTCACAGCAAGGGAAGTTTTGAGTATTTTAGGATGATTAGCATCCTGCCCACGCTGAATACATGCCAGTAACATCCCTCCAAATCCTTGAAACACGGTGAAAACGGCCTGCGCATCTCCAAAATGCCCTCTAGGGGGTGGAAGCACCCCTGCTGGGGACGATCTCCAGCGTTCAAATGCCCTCAGTGGAGGCAGTTTAGTCTATTCTTCCAGTAAGGATTCCGCTGAAGCATTCTTTCAACAATGCAACTGCTGCCATGTATCAGCCTGGTGGAGTCAGCAGAGAGGTATCCTCCCGGCTTGTGCTCAAGGAGTTTCAGAGTGCTCTTCTGGATACATGGCTTGGCCTTACAGAAAATGCTTACCCCGAAAATGAGAGACAGGGCCAACCCCAGGCATGGGATAGTCAACATTTATGTTCTGTGGCAACTCAAGCTGAGCAGTGCCAGGGCCCCAGGGTGCTGGGAATAGGGCCAAAGGGAAGTTTGAAATGGGAGCCTATGACTATCAGACAATTGGGAAGTTCTAAAATGGGGCTCAGAGAAAACGCTTACAAGGTGAGAAATGCTTACAGGATGAGAAAGTAGGGAGGCTTGGAAGGCAGACATGAGGAGGAAAGATCTTCAAGGGCTGTCGCAAGAAGGAAAAGTCGAGGCCATGCAACTGAAATTGTTTATTGAAATCTTAGTTCTACAAAAGCATGAAAAACTCAGATACAAAGCAGTGGCCAGAAAGGCCTGTGAAGAGAACACCCAAAGAGGAACCAGAAGAGAAGGAAGCCTTGGAGCAGGACACTCAGAAGGTTGGAAGACAAAAGGTCAAGGTCGAAGGTCCCAGCAGTCAGTCCTTGGCTCCATTAGATTATAGCCAAGGGACAGGCGTAGAAAAGTTTTCCCACCTCACCCAGTTTTCCCTCAGTCCTGTCAGTCCTGGGTTCTCACCTCAGGACATATCACACAGGCCTTTTTCAATACATATTTCCTTCCTCCCTTTGCCCAAGTACTCCCATCTTCCACCTTTACCCTTCCATCCTAGGAAACTCAAAAGCAAAAGTCTAGAAGAACCCCGAGGAAACAGAGATGGGGCTTCTCCTCTCATCTGTGACCTGCCCCTTTCACCCAGATGAAGCTTTCCCTGGCACCATCGCTCCCCTGGCCAAGCAGCCAGCCACTGAGGTCTAGGAGAGTGAATGAACTTCAGTCCTGCCCCACAACCTCTTAAGCTCTTACCCAGGAGGACAGGGGACCATCCAAGGACCCAGAGAGACAGCAAGAATCTAAATCAAGCTTTCCTCGTCTAGGTTCTCAGAGACTCCCAAATCCTCTGAATGCATACCTTGAAGCCCTAGCTAGCCTGGGAAAATGAAAGACTTGAGGCGGGCCAGCTCCATCACACTGAAAAGAGAACACTGCTGGGGATGGGGAAGCGGAGGGGCCATTGGGCTCCAGGGCCAAGGTGGAGCCAGGCCGTGGGTGTGGTACCAGGGGCTGGGAGGCCCAGCGGGTAGCGTATAGTTGGGATGGTGGCAGGCATGGCAGGCTGGGGGGTCTCTCTGGAGTTTCTGACAAAGGGGGCAGTTATGTAGAAGAGGGGCCAGGGAAGGAGGTTCTGGAGGAGGCAATGATGGGGAAGTCAGTGAGGCCAGAAGACTGTCCCAGAGTGAACGCAGCCCTGCGTCACCTTCCACGCAGCTGGAGATGTTAGAAGATGGCAGGCACTTCGGCACTGGAGAAGGAATGCAGGGCTCCAAAAGGCCCTTGGAGGCCAGGCCAAGGTCAGGAGGGCCAGGTGAGGGGTGACAGGACAGCCCTAAGGACTGGTGTATTACAGCCACTGATGCCACAGCCAGGGCTACGCTGCTCACATATGCCATGGCTAACAGGCAGGACAGCTGCAGGAGAGAAAGTAAGAAAGCAGCAGGCTGCTAACTGGCTTTAACACACACACACACTTCTCATCTCTAGAAACCTGAGTTCAAGTCGGAGCTCTCTTGTTGCCTTCTAGGCCTCCCCCACCCATCTGTCCCAAGCTCTATGTCCTGAGTCTTTCTGTATCTGCTTTATAAGCTCCCACCCACACACCAGCCAACTCAAGCCCTCTCTCCTTCCCAGGCCCTCCTCACCTTTACTAGTCGCTGGCAGAGGGAGCCCAAGGCCAGCTGCCAAGCTGGCTGCTCCAGCAGCACACACAGGTCTGTATAGGTGTACCAGCCCCGCCGTCGCCCCTGCTGCGCAGCCACACTGTGGAGGGGAGAAGAGACAGGAGTCTGCAACTCTCCTGCAGCCAGCTCAGTAGCACCTCTTACCCCTCCAGACCCTGCAGAAAGCACTAGGGGTCTTGAAGTGTGCAAGTTCCCAGGCGACCTGCTGATCCAGAAACTGAGGCTGAAACCAATACCTATATTTTAAATAAATTGCTCCCACTCTCCCAGAGAAGAGCAGATGGGTTTCAAAACTACCACCTTGGGTAATTTTCTTTCTTGTCTCCTCCCTCCCCCCAATTACACACACCCTAACCCTAGCTCCTATCATCTAGGCCTCAGCCTCTAAATCCCTAGAGCTCTTCTTCTTGATTCCTAGAACCTACCGGCTCTCCAGCCAGCTCAGCACCTCAAAGATCTCCCCAGGATCAATGTAGAGACGCCAATCCTATGGGTAAGAGGAAGAATACCAAACCCAACTCAGATGTGTGCCATAGTCACCTGAGAACAAAAGCCACAGCAGCAATTACAACCACCGCCGTGGCTGATACCTGGCACTTACTACATTTTAGGTACTATCCCAAGAACCTCTGTATATTAAGTCAAATAATCAGCACCTACCTGGTTTCATATCATACCCTCCATCAGGCCAAGGGGAGCAAATAATCCTGAGAATGGCCCATGTCCAAAAAGAGATCAGACCATAGCGGTAGAGAAAGTTTGGCAGGACATACTCAGAGCCCAACATGATGGGATCTGACTCAGCGTGCCCTGTGAAACCCTGTAGAGCACAGGAGGAGAAGAAATGCTCCACTCCTGGCCTCACCACTCCAGGAACTTCCTGGAGGTTAGTCCTAAAAGGACAGGAAGGGACGCTACTAGCAAAAAGGCGTAAAAGGACAGGTAGGAAGGGAAATGAAGAAACAACAGAAGGCTGAGAGAGAACTAAGGATAAAAGGAAGGTAAAGATGAACCAGGGAAACAGAACAAGACAACAGCTACTCACCATGGCACTCAGGAAGCTCCTCTCCAAGGCATTGAGAGTGGGCACAGCCACACCCCCAGCAGCTCCCCACTCATCATTGAAGACCTCCTCCTCCTCCCCTTCGTCGTAGAGGTACTTGCTGGCCACCATCTGCAGAGGAACGAGAAGTGGTACTGCTAGAGCTCACACCAGGCTCCTGAAACACTAGGGAGACGAAGCGGAGGGCTCTTACCATGGAGATCAGGAACAAGTCAGAAGATGATACGTGCTGCAGGTAATCTGGGTTTCGGTGCCGGAGCCGCTCAATGTACACCAGAGCTAGCATCATGGCACACGGGGAGATGCACGCCTCTCTGGGAGGTGGAAGGATCCATAATTAAACCCAAGAGTCCTTTAGCTTTCACAGCTCTTGCAATGCTTATCCTGTTTGTTTCTTTTCTTCATTTTTTTGGTATATGTGACATATAATGAATACCTTCATCTTGAGAAGTAAGTGTATATACATGTATCAAGTCTTAGGCCTTTTCACTTCCCCTTCCCTCCCCTCTCCCCTTTAAGACAACCAGTCCACCCCACTCTAGAACCCAAACACTCTCATTCTATCCCCTCAATTCCAGGCTCACCGGGACACATGAGCCACATATTTCTTCTGGAGCCGGCGAATAGGGCTGGGGGCTGCCTTCTGGAGCAGTTCCACAGCAATGTCTGCCGAGGACAGGTGAGAGGAGTGAATCAACAACCCCCCCCCCCAATCCCCAACGACTCCCAATGCTATCACCAAAGACTCGAGTCTGATTATCTCAGGCCAGGACCATAATGACCAAAGGAAAAAAAAATAAAATTCTCCCAACCCAAGACAAAAGCCCATTCCAAGTTTGATTATCAGCTCCTTCCAGCAGGAAGGCTTATTTCCCTGTCCCTTGAAAATATGTTTGTTTTTTTTACTGGTGTCCATCTGAGAAATAAACATGCTTTGTTTACTTGAAAATCATACAATGAATGCACTTAGAAAATTAAGTTTCCGGAATACCAATCAAAACAGAAGACTGATGAGGCCCTGGGTTCAATCCCCAGCATCACAAAAACAAAATCCTTATACCGATTCATGAGATGTTTACTCACAAGAGTTTAGAGATGTGAAACATAACCTGCACTCTTGAACCAAGTACCAATAAGCTAGATCTGAAGAGGCAACAGAGTTCAGAAGGTAAACTTGGAAGCATAAGAGTGACTGCTGACAACCCCATTCTTAAGCTTCTCACTTTGCCCAGTCGCACAACGCTGCCTAACCTGCCACAGGGCTGGAGAGCTCCTCCAGGCTGCAGTCGGCCTCCCAGTCCCAGCCATAGTATAGCCGCCTTCGGATTCGGGCACTCAGCTTCTGGTGTCCTGGGAGGAACTGAAACAGGGCAGGAGGGTGGGTGGTGGAGGGTGAAGGGCAGGGAAGGGTATGATGGAGATCCAGGCTCCGGGCTGGACGGCTGTGGCTGCCTAGCTGCCAGTGGCTCAAGCCCCACCCAGCTCCGAATTCTCCGGGTTGTTTGCCAGTAGCAGTCCGGTCCACGTGGGGAGGAGGATTCCTCGCTCCCACTGAAGGCTCCCCGGAGGTCCCCTAAAAGGGGCCCCGGTGTTGCCACCCTTACCTCCCTTCCTACACCCTGCGGTTCTGCCTCAGGGCCCAAGCAGCCGGGGCCTCAAGTAGACGTTACTCCAGCGGCGGCCGCCCAGGCCCAGGCAAGACCGTCAAGAGAGCCAGCTATCTTGCTTGGGCCGGGAGGGAAAGAAGCGGAGGCCCCGGCACCGAACGCCAGGAGGCTGGGGAGGGACGGGCAGCGCGCTCACCGTGAAGTCTTGGAAGCCGGTGAGGGAAAAGGTGCCTTCTTCGTCCAGTAGGAGCCCGGCCAGGTCCATCGCACTGCCAGCCACCGGCCTGCGAAGCTGGAGAGGAAGGGAAAGAGTTGTAAGGTGCTCGCAGGGCTATCCTCGCCCTCCGGTCCACCTGCCCGCCTACCTCCCCGCCGCTGGCCACGGCCCTCACAGCCCCCTCCCCTCGCGCCGGCAGCGGCAGGCGGGGCCGGCGGGCGGGCGCCTCTTCCTGTTCCGCCCGGGCGACTGGCGCGGCGCTTACCTCGCGAAGTGGGGACACCAGCAGCCAGGCTTGTACTTCGCCTGCGCCGCGTTTGCACTACGTTTATGAGCCGCTGGCGCGTCGCCCGCCCTGGCCAGGAGAAAGGGAAAGGCGGCCCCGAACTCCTGGTCTCATGGAGCCACACAGCTGAACCCCAGGGACCTCTTCTGATGAACGAGGACAGCTCCTAGGGGACCTCGCTGCACTGAGTGCGAGCCAGGGAGACCTTTTCAAATCAGTGATGTTAATATGGATAAAAGGAGGAGCACAGCGAGTTACTCCTAAGGTTTTTTTGTTTTTTTTTAAAGGGGAAATGTACACTTAACAATGAACATAAATAAGCCGTCTGAAAGAAACCACACGAAATTTACGAGTGGAAGAACTGGACCAAATGGAAGGGAAACTTTTCGCTCTTTTAGCAGTTTGACATTCTAAACCTCATTTAATGCATACTGAGTTTGGCGGCTCATTGCAACAAATAAATGATCTCAAGGGAATATGAAGCCAAACATTTTAACATTGTATCATCTGAGTTTTTTGTTTTGTTTGGACAGGGGTTCACTAGTCCAGGCTGGCCTCGAACTCACGGCGGTGCTTCTAAACCAGTTGAGTATTAACCTAGCTCCCAGAGTAAACAACATTTAAACAAAGTTTTATCTTCAAACTCACTTCCCGCCACCAATCTCACGTTGGAGGATGGGGAGGAAGGAGCGCCAATACGTGGAGGCGCGAAAGAGATATACGGAAAAAGAAGGGCAAGAAGCAACTTTTCTAAGTGGGTGACGCTGTTTTCGAGTCGGTCGGTCACGCGCTAGTTTGTTTAGACGTTGAGGGGAGGGAACTGGGAGGACCAGCGCATCGAAAGATGAGTAATGTGACGGCCGCCGCCCTCTCTGAGCAGCAGTAGATCCTACCGAGGACACCGGAAGGCCACTTCCTGCCCCCTTGAGTCGGGGTCACACCAGGGACGTAGGCCAACACAGTGTCCGTAGCTACCCTATAGGCACTGAAAGAAAAGAAATCAGGCTGCATGCCAGAATCCTGGCCCGGAGTCACGACTCCAACAAACCAAAACAAGCACCAGCGTATGTGAAGGGTCGGGCAGCTCTCTACACGCAAGCGCGAGCCGCCCCATCCGGGCTGTTAGGCCGCGTCACGTGATGAACTCAGCGTTACGCCGTCACGTGACGAGCGGCCGCAGGCTCGGCCCTCCTTGGCGTGCGCCCCCTTCCGCCTGACGCGCCCCCGGAGGCGGCCGCGCAGCCCTGGCTCCGTGCGGGCTCGGGCGGCGGCTGCGGCGGGGCAATGGCGAGCGGCAGTGGTAACACCGGCGCGGGTGGAGGTCCAGGGCTAGGCCTGGGGCTGGGCCTGGGCCTCGGCATGAGTGAGACCACCTGTGAGGCGGAGGACGAGGCGGCCACAGCCGAGGCGGTGGGCCGCCTGGCCACGACGCTGTGGCTGCGGCTCCGCGGCTGGGAGGCGGTGCTGGCGGCGGCGCAGCGGCTGCTCGTGTGGGAGAAGCCGCTGCACAGCCTGATCACAGCGGCCGCGATCAACGGCCTCTTCTGGTAACGGCTTCGGAGGAGGGGGCGGGGCCGGGGAGAGTGGGGGCGGGCGGAGCGGGGCGCACGAGTCCCCTTTCTGGGTTGTCACTTGGCCTGCGGGAATGAGCCACCAGCTTTTGAGATGCGCTCAGGTTGCCCCATTCCTGTATTTCGGGGTGGAGAGTTAGGCCTGGAGGTGCTATTCCCCCGTCAGCGAGCGCTTTTGCGATGCACGCAAGGGCCGATGAGATGCCTGTCTTCCTTAAGGCTGCTGTCTTCTTCGTCTCTCCGGCCAATCTTCCTTCTCAGCATCTCACTTTTGGCCTATTTCCTGCTGGATCTCTGGCAGCCTCGCTTCCTCCCTGATGTTTCAGGTGAGTCTTCATTCAGCGAGCCCTCCCCTTGCGCTCTTTGTGCCTGACCCCAGTGAGTAGGGTTGAACTGTGAGGGGAATGTACTGCAGGCCACTTGCCTCCAGGCACACTCCCCACCCACCAGACCTTTTTAAAAGAAATTATCTAAAACGAAAATCCATTTCCCAAAATGAATGTTCGTGTGTCAATTGGGCAAGACTTGAGAGCCTGCAGCCAGATTGCTCGGATTCCATGCCCTGCTGTGTCACACCATGTGTGTGAGTGTTGTAAACAGTCTTTCAATCTCAGTTTCCTTAACTGTAAAACAGTGGAAAGAAATGTATTTTATGGAAACGTGAGAATTAAATATGTAAATACGTGTTGTATGGTTATGGTACTGTCTTGATTACGATAAAAGTTACACAGATATTAGTTCATTGTTCTTGTTTTCTGTATATTAATGTGCATTTTGGAGCGACTAGTTATAAGGTTGAATTGGGATATAAGTATGAGTAGGAGGAAACAGGCTGGGTGCAGTAGTGTATGCCTGTAATCCTAGCTGAGGGAGAGGCTGAGGCAGGAGGATTGCATGTTTGAGGCCAGTCTGGACAACTTATCGAGACCATGTTTCAGAATTAAAAAGTACAATTCTCTGAGTTCAGTCTGCAGTGCTGAAAGTGAAAAAAAAAACCAAACATACAGAAACAGTGCATAATACTTCAGTTGGCATCTGAAGAAAATGCTTTGAGACTGCAGAGGAGCAGCAACTATTTTTGCCTTGGAGAATGTTTCCTAGTATCCCCACCATTCAATAATTTGTCCTCCTCCTCTCTGTATAGCATCATCCCCTGAGGATCCACACTCTGACAGGTGAGTATTGTCCATCTCTTGAAGACGGATGCTCAGATCCAGTTTTGCTTACTGGTGCAATGTCAGCACAAAGAGGGACAATGCTGCAGCCTCTCTCTGTAGGCACAGGTCCTAGCATAGTGAAGAGACTAGCATCAACCCAGAGTTTTCTTGGTCCTAGGCACCTATGTAGGTGTTTATGTGCCTCTTTCTTTTGAAGCAGAGGGTTGGGTGCCCTGGGGTTTTGCTGGGCAGGACCAAGATGGCCTTCCTTTGGGAGGTAGAGTTTTCCATTTTAGACTCATGATCAGCAACCTCAGAGGAATTTGAGTGCCTAGGAAGCTGGTGTCTGAGGCCTCCAGGGGTCATGTCGTGTCTTCCCAGTGAGGGTGCGGGGTCAGGCGCCCGGCCGCACCTGCTGAGTGTGCCCGAGTTGTGCAGATACCTGGCTGAGAGCTGGCTCACCTTCCAGATACATGTGCAAGAGCTGCTGCAGTACAAGAGGCAGAATCCAGCCCAGGTAAGCTCCCCACATCCTGTAACAGTTCCTGGAACCACAGGGTTGGAGGGAGCAGTGTTGTAAGCAGAGCGGATTGCATACTTCTTGTAATGGAGGTGTTGGGCATCTTGATTAGACCGAATTCCTAGAGGAAATGGCTATTTTTTCACCAGCTAAGCAGTTTTTTACCCAGATGAGTAAGGCATATAACCCCATCCCCTGTTTTTCATAGACTTTATGCTCTTCTCTGCAGTTCTGTGCTCGAGTCTGCTCTGGCTGTGCTGTGCTGGCAGTGCTGGGACACTATGTTCCAGGGATTATGATTTCCTACATTGTCTGTGAGTCTAGCCCTGCCCTTGCCAAACCTCTCTACTTTTCCTGTTTCCTGGACTGACCTGGAGGGAGGACTATGTTCTGTCTGCACAGTTAACCGTTTGTGGAGATCTCCAGGGCTGCTGTAGAACACCTTTGTTAACAGTAGAAGAATCAGCCCAGGGGAGGACAATAGATTTGGAGTCGGGGGGAAGAGGGTAGTACCTCCTTGGAAAAGAACTTTAGCCCTTCCTGTTTAGGGGCTAGTTGAATGAGGATTCTTAGGAAATTGGTACAGAAAGCTCTGAGCAGATTTTCTAACCCACAGTGCTGAGTATCCTGCTGTGGCCCCTGGTGGTTTATCATGAGCTGATTCAAAGGATGTACACACGCCTCGAGCCCTTGCTCATGCAGCTGGACTACAGCATGAAGGCGGAAGCTGATGCCCTGCATCACAAACATGACAAGAGGAGTAAGGGTCTCTCTTAACCTGAAAGAGGGAAAGTGAGGGAGCTCCCTTGGTTTATGGCTCACGACATGCCTTAGTGTTTAGATAATCTTCTGTTCCTTGGCTGTTTGTTCCCCACCACTGTCTGTTTGGTCATTGCTTTATTGTTCTCTAGAGCGCCAAGGGAAGAATGTACCCCCAGGAGGAGATGAGCCACTGGCAGAGACAGAGAGTGAAAGCGAAGCAGAGCTGGCTGGCTTTTCCCCAGTGGTGAGGTTCAGGGGAGATGAGGGTGACAAATAGAAAGTGGGGTTGGGGGTGCACATTGTCTGCTTTAGAGCTGCTGCCTTTCAAAGGAGTAGAGCTAGATGGTTTGGGGGTAGGTTGCTCTTATCCCTTTACCTATTGTGTTTATTCTGGTTCTCCTGCAGGTGGATGTGAAGAAAACAGCACTGGCCTTGGCCATTACTGACTCAGAGTTGTCAGATGAAGAGGCTTCTATCTTGGAAAGTGGTGGCTTCTCTGTATCTCGGGCCACAACTCCACAACTGACAGATGTCTCTGAGGGTATGGGGACCGCTTTGCCCCTCCTGATCTTCCTGTTCCCTAGTGGTGGGATGCTAGTTATGCTCTCTGACTCCCCTGTTTCCTATGGGGAACTGACCTTAAGCGTGTCACATCTGAAGTTCTCGTCTGTGAACTGATAGGCTGTTGAGGGCCGTCAGAGCAGCAGGCCCATTCCTAACTCTGTTCTCTCTGCAGATTTGGACCAGCAGAGCCTACCAAGTGAGCCAGAGGAGGCCCTGGGCCGGGAGCCTGGAGAGGGAGAGGAGGCCGAGCTGGCACCCTCTGAAGACCTACTAGGCCCCCCTCAGGCCCTCTCAAAGCAGGTCCTGGACTCAGAGGAGGAGGAAGAAGATGTGGTAGCTACAGAAACTTTGCTTCGGCTCTCATCTCCTCTGCACTTTGTGAACACACACTTCAATGGGGCAGGAACCCCCCAGGATGGAGTAAAGTGCTCCCCTGGAGGACCAATGGAGACGCTGAGCCCAGAGGCAGTGAGTGGTGACCTCACAGCTCCACCCAGCTCCCTGTCACCTCCATTTTGCCATGCTGAAAGTGACCCAGCCCCCTTCCCCTCCTCCTCCATGCCCCCACCTATTCCCCAGGACTCGCCCCAGCCCCTGCCTGCCCCTGAGGAAGAAGAGGCACTCGCCACTGAGGACTTTGAGTTGCTGGATCAGGGGGAGCTGGAGCAGCTGAATGCAGAGCTGGGCTTGGGGCCAGAGACACCCTCAAAGCCACCTGATGCTCCACCCCCCCCACCCCTGGGGCCAGACACCCATTCCCTGGTACAGTCAGACCAAGAGGCCGGGGCTGTGGTAGAGCCATGAACCATGATGGGAGGAGCTGCAGGCAGAGAAAGGCTTCCTAGCTAGAGCTGTCATTTCCTCCTTTCCCTACCATTCTGGGGAGAGGCACCAGGTGGGAAGGCCAGCTGTCAGACAGTAGTCAGCCCACCCTCTGCCTGCCTGCCTGCTGTCCTGGGCCTGGTGCAGTACCTGTGCCTAGGATCGGTTTTGAGTTTGTAAATAATTTTCCATTTGGGTTAGTGGATGTGGACAGGGCTAGGGAAGTCATTCCCACAGCCTGCACTTGCCTCCTCACCTCATCTCTTCTCATTCCGCTATGTCCCAAGCCCTGGTGGTCTAGCCCTTTTTCCTCCTATCCTCAGGGACCTGTGCTGCTCTGCCTTCATGTCCCACTTGGTTGTTTAGTTGAGGCACTTTATAATTTTTCTCTCCTGTTCTGTGTTCCTCTTGGCTTTGTTTCCCTGCTGTGTCTTGTCCTTAGCGGCATAACCCTACCCTTTGCCAGCTTCTCCTTCCCACATAACACTGGCCAAGCTTTAGGGCAGCTCCCGGTCTGGGAAGTAAAGAGTAAACCCATAGTGGTGGGTGGTCAGGCCAGTGGGCCCCTCACAGGTCACTGTAGCCTTGGTAACTTGCACTGCACCCTTTCCCTAGTTCGGCCCTTTCACAGTGCAAGAGAGCAGGTCCCCCAGTGCATGTGTCAGCGCCGGTTGGTAAGCAT